GAGCGTGGAGCCATACTTGCCAAACACCTCAGACTCTGTCACGGCGTCGTCAAATGCACTGCTCTTAGTTGAAGGCGCGGTCGACACCTTGACTTGTATCTTTTCTCGATTCCCCAGTCCTGGACCAAGTCCCCTCCAACGTGACTGTCAAGATCTCTGACGAGAAAATTTGGGCTGCGTCATGTTCTCTGCTTAGGCTTACTGTGGTCGCATAAGAAGTTGAAATCGAGACGCGCAAGACGTCCCGCCGTGGCTATGCTTAAACATGTTTCATCAACTTTCTGAAATGAGATTTTGTCTTCAGATGGGCGACGGTTTTCTCAGAAGGCTCTCCATGTTCCTCTCCGCCTAGAAGCACGTCAGCCACGTGTACCCCAATGATTCCACACAACTAGGTTCCGCCACCCAGCCTTCAATCCCACAACGTGTACACCTATGGATCCAGCGTTGAGGGTTTCCAGGAAAGGTCTTGACTGCATTTTTTCTGTAGAAAAAGCTCCTGTCACGCCCCAAGTTGCAGCACGAAACAGCATCAGCTCGGCGCAATCTTCTCTGGGCACGGCTCCAGACTCTTCACGCGAACATGGCCTCAAAGCATGCTTATCTTCCACGCAGCTTTTGACCTCTTTCCTGATGCCCACACACAACTTCGGGGGTGCACCGCCGCTGCCCTTTGAGGTTCCTCCTGCCTCCAGCCAACAGTACGGTAGCCTCCCTGTTCCTCTGTTGCTAAAACATCCACTTCTTCTGGTTGCTTTTGTTCAAAGGCTCGTTGAATGCAGCTGAATCAACTGGCGGCGCCTAGGTCCCAATATCCTCGGGCCCTTTTCGTCTGGTTGATCGTGGAGCGTGCTTGCTTCCACGTGAGGAGGGCATCTGCTGCATCGTGTCCTTAAGTGTCATCAGGAGCATACCCTGCCTCTGCCTTGTAGACCTCGAACGCGTCAGCCTTGTGACATCCTCCAACTCAACATGGTAGGAATTGGGTTACCAGCTGCTTGGAACAAAGTGTCCGGACAGGTGCTGCCACTACCACTGCTTTCCGTTCAGGGCTCAACTTGGCGAAACGCAGCAAGGGGAAGGCTGCGCGGACCTTCCCCGAGCACGCAGCTGTTGACTCGCCCTTCTCGATCTTGAGATCGAAGACATCACGCAGCACCTTTGCCAGCCGGTCATGAGTGGCCTCAGCTGGGAACAGCCCGTCCACGGTCTGACGAAGCTGGTGTGGGCCTCTTCCGGGATGCCTTCGAACGGTTCATGCCTTCTCCATCGAACCTCTTCGTCAGGCCCTCCTGCTTCTTGTCTTCCCCACTCCTCGCTCTTCTCTCAAGTCAGGGTCTAGTGACCGCAGGGGACCTTCCCCCTTTCACTATATCCAAGCCTAAGTGGCGGCGGACGCAATTGATCCAATGCAGCCAAAACAAAATTGTGGCAGACATGACTTGGACATCTTCTGTTGGACTTTTCGCTCCTGGCCAACACTGTCAAGGTAGAGCCAAGGAAGCCTTAGAGGACAGAAGTAGTGACCAGCCAAGTGTGCTATTGAGCGTGCTTGGTGCGTCCTGGTCCTCTATGCTCATGTGTGTGTGTGTGTGTGTAAAGACAATGCTTACCCGTCTCAGAATCTCTGCTTTGCACAACACAGTTGCGGCCGTCTTGGCAAAGGACTCGTGAGGCCTTCGGCCAAAATCTTCCACCCTGAAGGCGCAATCCTTTGCAGACCTGGAATTCAATAGAGCTGAGATTGAGAGAATGATTTTATCATAGACTTTAGATAGTTTTAAGTTTTAACATAGACTTTAGATAGATTAAAAAAACTTGAAACAATATCAATCATACCATTACCAAATATTATTTGCAGTCATTGCGTTGCTTACTCTTCACATCGTCACAACAAACACATTTGGCTCCGGACAAGCATCTGTACGTTGCCAGTTCAGGCGCTGGCCGACGCATCTGTTGCACAAAAGTGAGCAAAGACAGAATCCGAACGAACTGTTTTGAACAAATGAGCAAATCAGGGCATTTGGATCACATGATTACAAAATGCACTGAGAGAAGCACAGAGCTTGCGCAACCGTCAACGAAATTGCCAAAGTTAGTGCTTCGGACCACGGCTGACAGCAGGAGTTTCACTCGTGCAACTGCTCTGCTACATCTACAGGGATATCACTGATATCACAGCAATGTCTCAACATGCTCCATATCATTGACACCACATGTGTTTGACAATTCGCTTGAGAAATGCTGCTGCTTTGATTGTGCAACCATTGTTGTCACATCTCAAGCCCGTGAATGCCGGTACTCCTGTGGAACACGGTGTAAACATGTGAAAACTGTTGAGTCCATGGCATCTGTCTTCAACTGCTCTGAGCCGTCAATCCCAGTGATTGATCAGCAACTGCTTCGTTCTAGTTTGTAATTTAACACAAATAGCAAGTATTGAAAAACCTGTACTACTACATTGACAAAGTATCACTGCAAGTTGCTATATAGGGTACTTTCACTCGCACAAGATCCATGAAGCGTTATCATTCTGTAGTTGGGGAGAGGCCTACAAGAGAAAGGAGATCAAAGCAAACACATGTGATGATGTACTGCGCAAGATTAAGCCTGAAAGTGTCTCAAAGTGTAAAACTCTACTTGAGGGAGGACTTTACTTTTCTGACAATGTTCACGGTTTAATGCACAAGAACAAACTGGGTCCGTGCAGAAACGAATTGAGCTGCAAACCTTCAGAATCCAATCTCTGTCCACCCTAGGGTCAAACATTCCTCACAAGTGCAAACATCGTGGAAGTCCATAGGTGTCCTGGGGAGTAAAAAGCCAGCCGGACAGAGAAATCCCGAACGCATCGGCTCCATCAGGAGCAAAATGTCAAAAGTCAAGAAGCTCTACGTCAGACGCAAGCTCCCTGTCTCCATCGACCAAAGGGTTGCACGTGAATTGGCACTGACCTGGCACCAAAACGTATTCAATCCTATTTCATGGTACATCAATTTGGACAGCTGCAAACTCCTTCGTGCTGTGCATTTTCTTATATTGTTCGATTTCAACAATGGTAGTTTGATTCACTAGCAGGAGCGATTGAGTTTATTGCAACACTCTGATGCAAGCTGGCAGCATCGAAGCCAAAGTCAACACTTCTACTAATTACTCAACTTCTACATCTCTTCGCAAGAAAGCGCAGCAGCCGGCAGCTGCTTCAACATCTGGAATCAAACAAGACAGGCAAGCGCATCACAACTGAAGTCCAGGTAGTGCCAACCGGGAGGATGTCGAAGGCTCTCTTGCCAGCCTCGGGCCGCGTGTCTTGGTCAATCTTGTTGCGGAGGTCACTCAGCAATGCTTAAAATTGTCTGTGTATAGCGTTGAGCAGTGCAGCAAGTGCATGAGGAATCGACTTTGGGAAGATCTCGACCTTGCATTGAATTGGAAGAAAATTCCGTGCTCGAGTGAGTCCCTCAATGGCTCCCAGAAAAGACTGCAAAATTTGTGGGTAATTTTGCAGCTCTTGCCAGCCTCCTTCTGACAATGCCAGAGCCTCCCAAGATCTATTTCTGGCTAGACCGGAAATGCAAATGCATTTCAAGGTTGCTTCATTCATGATACTTCCTGGGTCCAATTGGCACACACCGCTGCAAGTTCATCACTTGAGTGGTTGGCAACTGAACCTTGAAGAGATACTGAGGCAGGTGTCTGCTTCATGTGAACAATACTGATGGTGCTGATTGTGAGGTCACAACATCTTAAACCAGCTTTAGTCTTTGATGCCTGAATCATAACTGCATATAACTGCGGTGTTCTTGGTTGATGGTCACTGGCACATACTCTCTATGAAATAGTGTGGCCTGAAGAGCTTGGCTATGTCATGGGGAAAAGGAGTGGCCAGTTTGCAAACTCTAGTATTAGTATGTATTAGTACCTGGTTTCAGTGTTCATCGCAGCTCTTCCCACACAAAGTTTTTCTAAAGAAGAACCTCCGGCTAGAACCACACTCAAATCTAACTTTGCCTTAACTACAGTCACTGTGGACAGCAGAGTTCATAAACAACTTGTGTGTGTGCGATTCCACCCAAAAGCCCAGCGCAGCACGAGGAAAGCTAAATGGTTGAGGCCAATGTGGACGTGCAAAATGCGAGAGTGATGATGACGAGGAGAAGGAGGAGGACGATGATGATGGCAATGACGTTGATGTTGATATAATTATATAATGATGAAAAAATATGATAAGTAAGCCATGGCATAAGGGAAAAAGAACAACACGTGTCCAGCGAAGTTCCTTGGTTCGGTTTGTTACTACTAGCTTCTTGTTACTACTAGTAGGGCACCTGTTACTACTAGAAGTTGCAAGCACGAAAACGAATCGACGTGTCTTCTTTGCATCCCGATATACCTACCAATTGTTCAGGCTTTGCAGCGGTGCCTGGGCAAGCTATGCAGCAACCACAAGAATCACAGGTGGCCTTCTCTGCACCTGCATTGGCTATGGAATCCATGCTTGGTTATAAACGACCAAGCTCATTCCAACCTACATGACAAGAACTGTGATTTGCCACAAATCGAGGGGTATGTGTCAGGCATGTCAAGCGAGACTGAGGAAATCCTCAAGCGCAAGCGACTTTTTGTTGCCTGTGAGGTGATTGTCCATACCCTCAACATCCCTTGGTGCTTACATCAACCGGGAGGCCCAACAATAGATCGGTTTAAATTATATATCCCCTTTCCGCTAAGGGATCAATGACAGCAAGAGGAGATGTCAAGTGAGTTCGCAATGTTCAGCTCAGCACCATGAGGGTCCTTCATTGATGCTCATGCTGCATGCTCAGAATCACCAGAACTTCCAACCTCCGAATTGTCATCGTCTTGAGAATCCAGCTGAAGACCAGTACCATGTCGAACGTGTTCTGGAAAAGAAACTCTGTTACATACTCTTGAAAAGGCTGCACCTTGGTTGCTACTGCATCAGGATCCCCAAGCTCGTCCTCTGTGTCATCGGTTCAGCCTAGAACGTGGCAAAGTTTGGCACTGAAGAAACTGTGGCAAAGTTCTGGGAGGGACAGAAGGTTGATCTGACCGCTTGTGAGGCGTTTTGTGTTTGCAGCCTGGGGTACGGTCTTCAACGCCCGTCTGAGCTTCCACCTGTGCATTAGATCCCACAGCACTGACAGCACTCAGCAGAACAGCACCATCCAGAGAAGCCCTTGGGGGCCTTTTGTTTGGCCTTCGCAGCGAGTCCAGGCTTGCGCCCTTTCCTCAACAGAAACGGAAGTGCTTGTGATGCTTGTCATACTGTCATACACTTTAGTCAAACTTGGTAAAATGGTCTTGCGCTTGGCATCGCCAGCTTTGCGCTTCGCGCAACTTCTCGCCAGCCATCCATCCAGCCGTCTTTGGGATGATAGAACTCCTCGCAGCCTTCAAACAGGAAACTGACAAAGTCCATGTTGTTTCTGTGGGAAGAGCAGGTTTGCACATTCTGCTTCTACAAATCTGCGTTGCTCCAAAATTATTCCAATCATTGTGTGCAGTGTATGTATTATAACTATACTATATAATTACTTCCAAATGTTGCAAAAGCACCTGCAAGTTGGTCATCTTGCAGTGTATCATGGCATGAGTTGACAACCCTTGCCTTCCAACTCCCCGACCCCAGCAACGTTAGCATCCAATGCCCCATCCACAGCATCCGCAGTTGCGCGATTCAACGCCAAAATGGCTTTCCCAGCAGCATCAATGAGGTCCTTCTCCTAGCAAAGTGCAACATCAGTTATTGAAAGGCATCCTTCCGGTAGCGCTTAGGATGTCTTTTTCGATTGAAATCACCCTCGGAACTCAGAACTATGTGTATAGAACGAATATAAGGCTTTTGAATGGTAATATTTTATATATAACGACATCCAGCTTGAAACTTTGCATGATTGATGAATTGGAACTTCAATCCACATTGAAACTCTCCTTGAGCACCTGTGTTGAAGAGCTACCAAGAGTAAAGCGTTTGGCACCGGTGAGAAGTGCCACATTTTCAATGAAAGGCCTTGTGGGCCTTGGAGTGATTGGGCCACGATTTGAGGGATCTGGCAAACAAAGAACAAACGCATATTTCTATGGGTGCCGATTGCAAGTAGTGTGTAAATGTAAGGATATTCAAATTATTGCCCTCCTGAAGCGTGACAACCATTGTTCGATTCTGTCCAATTGTTTCTTCGAGTCTTCGCATCACGTTGTATATAATATATAACTATATAACTATAACATGATCTGCTTTGTATATGATAGGTATCTCAGAACGCTTGTGTCGGTGTGTAGAGTATTTAGATATATATATATATATGTATATACATATATTTAGATAACTATAAATCATCACGTGCTAATACTAGTGTGTTCATATTTGTATATATATATATGTAATATAGTGTTTCATGAATCGTCATGATTGATGTGATATGGCCGTTGCCGCTGAAAGTCTTGTGACTGACAATGTGCATTCCGTGACGCAAAGGGATCGAAATGATGAGCACTTCTGCAAAATCAAGAGCATATCAATTCTAAGGCTGAGACTCTCTGGAATTCGGCAGAATCTCAACCAAAGAACTGGAAGGTTTAAGCCAAAGCCTTGGAATGGCGCAAACACAAATGAAAAATGAGCAAACATTGATTCAATGAGTTGGAAAGCTCGACCTTGGGTATGACCGCTACAGAAACAAGATTCAGTGCTGAGAAAATGAATGCTTGAAACATGATTGTGCAAAGGTTTCTGTTGATTCACAAACACATGTCTTGCAACTAAATTGGCCACATTCAGCAGTCGGCCCGACCCAGCAATCAACTTCTAAAGGGTTTTTCACCGATATGGTAGCGCACATGCTGTGAGCAAACATATAAAGTACGAAAGCACAAACACATGACATGACCACACACAGGACAGACAAAATGAGAGGACACATATGCCCCAAGCGCTGCGGGGTCAGGAAATCTGCCACTTCGGGGACCACCCATGTGCCACGAGACTTCAGGCTTGAAACTTTGTATCAGGTTCCTTTCCTAAAAAATCTAGGAACCAACTCATTAGTGCAAGCGCTTCTTCAAGGAAGCTTCCCCCGGCCGCCTTTGGGGCGGCGTGGGAAGCTTCCTTGAAGAAGCGTGAGCTATCCTTAAGTAGCTAGGAGCTTACTCCTTTACTTAATTAAGTAGGAGTGAAACAAGTTTCCATCGGCACGTCGCACAACATTCTGATCTTTGGTCCCGAGGTCGACTTGAGAATGTATTTGAATGTATCTTTTGAACCCCTCGTACCTGCGTGAAAAGTTAGCTCCAAGGTCGAAAATGCGCACAGCACAACAAGAGCCTGGCACCGTCTCACATCTACTGGCACGGAAAGCGGAGCTTTCTCTGTCGACACGCGCAATTCACCACACGCGCATGCAAAGCACCTAGTCTTCAGTCTAGACACCAATCCTTTGCTCGAACTAACCGTACTACCGTAAGAACTACGTTTAAGATACAGTAAGTATTTAAGAGCATTCGACTATCAGTACAGGGGTATCGTTGCCTAGCTTTGCCTGTGTTCTTGTCTTGTGATGCTTTGATGTCAGCAAAAAACAAAGATCAGGCCAATGGCTCGGCTCGATGTCTGCCCAAGCAACTCCGCTCCACTTGGCATAGTATCAGGTAGAACAAAGAGGGCATCACAAAGAGCCACGTCTGCAGCTCTGCTTGCAACCTGCCAAAATTGATGTCAAAGGATGTCAAAGGCATTCCAAGGCATGGTGCTTTCTTCTACAACAAAAGAATGTGTTCTCTGTTGGAGCAGCAAATTTAAGTATACTAAGTCCAATGGTCAAAGGTTTTTAAGTTTTTAACACATTTCATGTCTTCTATTTAAACCCCTTTGAGACACAAAGAGGAAGACTTCATGCAATTATGATGCATCTGGTTGTTCCACTTCAGCTCAGAGCTCCACCTGAATCTGCACCGGTCGCCCGCCGAGTTCGCAAAGTTCCAGGAGCTTGAGTTGGTTCTCATGAAGAGCATTGCTTGAGAGGCAAACCTGGCTTCAGGTCCACCCACAGAAAGGATCACAAGTTCGTTTACAGAGAGACGCTGTGACGATTGAAGTATCGAATGTATCGCCTTCATACCGCAAAAATGGGGACAAAGTCAATGGAAGTCGTGGCCAGCCTGTGCTGTTGCCCGCGTTGCTCTTCCACTCTGTACAAGGTGATTCTGCCGGAAATTCTCCACCTGCGTAATAGCCAACAACATCCAAAAACTAAGGAAGGCGAGGTTCGCCGGTTCACCATCGACAGGTATGCATGCCAAGACACAAGTGCGTATATACATCTTTTATCCAGTTCTATCCTATCTATCCACTAGCCTGTCATTTGATACCTGTGAAATGACTTATGACTTCAAATTGTGCACAGCCAAAAGGTGTTTCCGAGTCTCCCCTCAGGTTTTGATCCAAGAATCAAATCGCAGTACAAGACGGCCCTCATGCGTGTTGCAGCGAAAGGGCTGAGCCCAGGCATAGTCCCATGGCTCACCAGTGAGCACTGCAACAGTCTGAAAGCAACGTACCTGAAGGCAAAGGCACAAATTCAGAAGGCATCACAAGGCAAAAGAAAAGCCGGCTTTGAATCCCCAAGTTTTGAAACGCCTGGGCCTGGCTGTCATTGGCAAGTAAACCGGAAACTGGGTCAAGGTCCTGAGACGACCATGAGTTTGCAATACTTGCCCCTAGTAGCGATGCCAGGAGCCCCTAGTAGCGTCCTTGCTCCTAGTAGTATGGCCAGGAGCCCCTAGTAGCTTCTTGTTACTAGCAAGACAGCCTAAGATAAGATGTCATGAAAGCTCTTGAGAAGCTTCATTTCACGTGGCATGGCTTTGTAGTGACAACAGTCTCGGATTCACGTATATTATGTCAGTAAAGTATGATAGAATATAACACCTGTATGAATAGGCACCACGCTGGAACATGCCAAGCACATTGAGGCAAGCTTCTCTGGATGGCTGCCAAATCTGAATGTCTTCGGGTGGCTTTCGCAAGACTTTCCGCGTGATAAATGCAGCGAATTCCCTGGCCATATCATCCCACACGGAACCCTTTGCGTGCTTTGAACCTTGGCAAAACATTGCAAAACAAACGAATTCTGGACCTTTGTGTGACTCGCTCTTCGTATGTCTGATCAAGGCTTGTTGCAGCCCTGTGCTGCTGCACCTATATATCTAAAACTATGCTGCTCCTCGTATCTGTTGTCATGGTCAAGTTCTGCCGAGCTTCCTGGCGGCAAAGCCAAAAGGATTTTCTCGGCTGATAAATTTCCTCGTGCACATGCTTCTCTCCACGTCTGAACATCTTGCAGGAAAGGTTGCAAGAGTGCATTTGCGTCCTCAAGGGCTTGGCGGGTGTGAGCAGCACTTCCATAAGATCCGAGTGGTGATTCTGATTGGCTCATTCATGCAACTGTCGAATGCGTTCTTCAGAGACAAAGAGAGAGAGAGAGAGATCAAAACTGATCAAACATACGACAAGTTAATATGCAAAACTTGTTTGTGCCCAAATAAGCATGCATAAGAAGATGTAGGCTTGCGAAGCCACGAAGCTGCAAGATTTCGACTACGTCAAGTCAAACTGACATACCAGCATTGCATGTTAGGGATTTACAATAATTTATATACATTAAATTACATTAATATACATACCTTTCCCTGCACCGTATCGCAGGGGATTCTGAAAATATTAATACTCGGTGGCCTTTGGTGTTGAATGTGCTGAGACACAGCCTCCCTCTCAGAGCGGCGGATGAAAGATGGGCGTGTTGGAAGGACGTTGAAAAGGCAAAGATCAAGGGGTGGTTTGGTGTTTGGTGAATTGTGTAGACTCAAGTCTTCACGAGAACACGTAGACTGAAGATTTGCGTGCGCTGGGAGAGTTTTTTGGGGTTGCATAACTTGCTGTACTGTGTCCTGAGTATGATAAGAGCTAGTGAGGCTTCGAATTGCAAATGTTTTGGAGTCTGTTAAAGCAAAGAATGCTTGAGGAAGCAGCCACACGGGATGTAAAAATGATTCGAGCAAACTATTGGAGAAGGTTATAATTTCACAGAAATCACACACGGATTCGAGCCAGGGTCTGGCACCAATGCATTGTCATTACTCAAGTAGAAGTTAGAAGTACAAGTTTAGTAACTTAGACTACCTTGATCTACCTTGCGTGGTCGCCTATGCATACAAGGAATTCAGTGAGTGGTTCTCCCTCACCACATTCCCTTACCGCTCCTCCCGTCCTTCTTGCAGTGTTTGTTTTGCATCTTGACACACACAAGAATGATCAAGAATGCATATCGTAGCTGTCAAATCAGACTTGTTTGAGAGCCTACTGCTTCAGTCCAGGTTTACGGTTTCCAACACTTTACAGCAAGTCTCTGTGTTCGGACGTGGAAACTGTGGCCCTGTTCCTTCTGTCCCAATCTCTGGTAGTGGACACACACCTATACAGAGCAATGTTGTAACACTTGGAGATTATGGACCAAGCACATTAGCATCAAAGTTCTTCTGTAGAATCTTCAGTTTCGCCTCATCCAGGATTGTCTGCACGGCACTTGGATCATGCTGCATATCAAAGAGAGTCAAACCCACCTGAGGATGGCATCATCCAACGACGGCAACAAAATGCATGATGGCAACACGGAAGCTACGTGTTCCCTCAATGCTAACTACACAAGCTAAACAGGGATAAAACTTGCCCGCCGTCAAGCCCGCCAAACGCAAACTGTCAATGTGATTGTTTCCCTTCGGTCGGCTGCATGTTTTTTTGCATGCTTATGCATCTTGCGAGTGTGTAGCGCTTGTTGGACCAAAGCCTGATGCTCGTGATGGTCGACTCGCATGTAGCTGAAGGGTGTCTCTTCTACGCTAGCATTCTGCCTGCGTTGAGATGCGGTGTCTGCAATACAAATGGTTCATTGTTGAGCATGTCAGTGATTACAATTGAATTACTGTAGATGAGATTCCCAAGTGAAATATCACTGATAACTGATAACTGCCACTGTGCGGCAAACTGTAACAGCCCTTGGATGCTGAGAAGACCCACTAAGGCCAAGAAAAGGGGAAGCCGAGAAAACATTCCATGGAATCAATGAGAGGCGGCCTCAGCAGCCGAAGCTTGCTGCACAAGTGAAGCTAATATTATTGAAAAAGTTTTAAAAAAAAATCTATACTAGACGACGGTTGGCCCGAGAGCGAGACATGTAATTGTCCAGCACTGTCGAAAAGATGTATAGAAAGAGAGAAAGAGAGGGTGGATGTGAAGGAGTGACAGTGTGGATGTGCAGGTGCGATATAGATCTGTAGATGTATGGAGGTGGAGAGGTAGGTCTGTGGATGTGAGCGTGCGAAGATGTAAATGCACAGAGACGAGAGAAAAGATATGTAGAAAGAAAGAAAGAAAGACAGGACAGATGTGAAGGAGCGACAGTGTGGATGTACAGATGTGATATAGATGTGCAGATGTGTGGGTGTGGTGAGGTGGAGAGGTAGATCTGCGGATGTGAGCGTGTGAAGATGTAAATGTAGAGAGGTGAGGGGGTGTACAGTGTGGACGTAGATGCGTCGATGCAACGGCAGCGCAACGTCAACCTTAGTTGTGCAAGTACAACGCTGAAGAGGTTCAGATAGAACTGAAGAACGTACATTTCACACTGACGTTTCCACGAACAGGGCGGCCTGAGAGTAAACGACGTCACGATCATGACAAGCGACTCGTGCATTCCAAGCGAACATCGTTTGTCATGAAGGTGAAGTACATACATACTAACGTCACGATGACTCTTTTGTAGCAGCCGCTTATGAGTAAGCAAAGTAGCTAAAATTTGTCAACCTCTCAAGAGAGCCGGGTGGTCGGAAGACATGACTCAGTTGCAGGGGCGCCAGAGCAGCCGCGAGAGATGACTCAGCCGCGAGAGATGACTCATCCGCGTACTAAAGTTGTACTACAAAGTCGCCAGTTCTCAGCTTCCAGCTCCACAGCTTGCTCCGCGCACTAGAGTTGCACTACAAAGTCGCCAGTTCTCATCTTCCAGCTCCCCAGATACTCCGCGTACTAAAGTTGCACTACAACTTCGCCAGTTCTCATCTTCCAGCTCCCCAGATACTCCGCGTACTAAAGTTGTACTACAAAGTCGCCAGTTCTCAGCTTCCAGCTCCACAGATTGCTCCGCGTACTAAAGTTGTACTACAAAGTCGCCAGTTCTCATCTTCCAGCTCCCCAGATACTCCGCGTACTGAAGTTGTACTACAAAGTCGCCAGTTCTCATCTTCCAGCTCCCCAGATACTCCGCGTACTCAAGTTGTACTACAAAGTCGACACGCACGATCTCCGCAGAGGGTTGCGCCGGACCGGGCCAAACATCCTAACGGTCCGTTCTAATGGTCCTAACTAACACCAACACTGAGGCGACTCAAGAGTTACGCAAGCGACCGATCAAGCACCTACTACCTAGAACCTAGTAGACGCAGAATATCACAGAATGAATAGACTAATTTAGACCAATGCAACTCACGAGGAATATCTTGCAAATGTTCGACGTTGTGTGTGTTTCAAAGCTCTCTTCACTTGCCAGGACTAAATACGTTGGGACTCCATTTGACACCACATTGCAATGAATGGAAAGGGTGCCAGAAACAAGAACTTGCTTTCAGTCTACTGTATACTGTAGCTATCCGTAGCTTCCAGCTACATCCAGCTTACGATGCTTACGGGCCTGCTACGTCTCAATAGATGGATGAGGTTCAAGTTCGGAGTGCCATCGCAGTCCGGTCTTCGCTTTCCTTTGAGAAGAGAAGGAGCTTTCCTTTTTTGCCTAAGTCTCTGTGCCACTCTGTCCGACTCGCATTTAGCCACCGGCAAACTTTTGTTTTCGTTTTCGACGAGAAAGCCTAAACTAAACTAAACGGATCTGTTCGCTCAAAAATGCTGGTGGCTTTGGCCTGGATGAATGACATTGTCGATCTACTATCACCACTTGGATTGTCCTCACCCTACTGCTCAGTAAGAAAAAGTGTGCGGATGTCGATGGAACTCCGTCCTAGAACCGGCAATTCTGTCTGAATCCCTGAAGCGCCGTGAAGCAGCCAAGGTTGCGCTTGCCCTGTCCTCTCGATGTGGACATCTGCCTCTGGGAAGCAAAACGACTTTGCAATACTTCACCAATGCCACTTTTGCATTAGAATTCTGTGCAATCGTTTAGGAAAGAATGGTCACAGGCTAAAGATGGATAAAGGGCAGCGCCTTCCCACCAATACTTGCGAGGGCATCCCGGCGCCGTCCATTCTCCAAGCATTCCACATTGAAAACCGTGAAGACCTCAGAGTTGCGGGGAAACATGCAGACCACGTGGCACTGCAGATGCACAGAATCGAGGGCGTAAACCGCAAGGATCTGCGAAGGCATTGAGTCTCAAACGAAGCATTGCACGACGAGCACTACTCGTGGCATGGAAATAGAGTTTTGCAGCCCACTGTGAGCTGAGCCATAGTGACTGCGCTCTGCACATGACAGTAATGTGAACACATCTTTTGCATTCTTTTGCTGTGGATGAACCAATAGTTACCTACTACCTGATTGGCCTATACACACACTGTGAAGACTTGTTTAAAGCCTTTGGAGTGCGCGCCTGAACTGAAGTGAGCACGGGGCCTGAGCTCTCAGTGATATGGCAGCTGGCAAATGGTCAGAATGCTTTCATCGTTGAGATGTGGACTTTCTTTCGGAGTATCGAGCCTTGCAACTGGACGCGTTGTCATATTACATTATGCACATATATATATATATATATCATTCGTATATGTGGTATCATTGACAACGACTCCAAGAACCTGTGATGCAACTAATGAACGCCTCATTTGCTCGAAGACTGCTCAAGAATCGACGAGTTGCCCACTCCTGCATCAAACGAAGTAGATTGAAATAACCTGCAAGGAACTACTAGGGGCTCCTGGCATCGCTACTAGGAGCAAGGACGCTACTAGGGGCTCCTGGCATCGCTACTAGTAACAAGAAGCTACTAGTAACAAAATGGTGGAGCTGTGGAGCTCACAGAAAACGCTGATGCATAGCTGCATTCAACAAGGGCGTTATCCTCCAGCTTGCTTGGCCAAGTTTCTCGTATATAAAGTCTTTTTTGGGCTGACACTGCGTGTTGTCAAATAAAATCAATTACTGTAAGTGTAATAGGATATCAACTTTGCTCTATGCCATGAATAGAGATCCCAGGTCTCCAGAACTAAAACGTTAAACGTGTCCAGCTTTCCTGTACCCGCTAGCCACTGGCCTTTCTGCTGCCCATTGTGCCGTTTGGCCTTAAATATATATTGTTTAAAAAAAATACCTCTATGAGAAGGTACTTTTTCTCAAATGGAACATTCTATATCTCCAGAAACTGTGGAGCTCGCTTTTGCTGGATCAACAAAGGCGGACCAAAAGATAAATCCTGATGCACTCCGCCTTCTTTTCCAAACTCTCTGAGGACTGCAGAAAAGGTCTGAATACAAAATGATAAAGATGTGAGAGTCAAATGAGAAACAAGGAGGGGAGAGGGAGGGAGGATGTCAATCTCATGCACGGGGGTGACAATTGAGGTCAATGCTTTAGTCAGGTCAAAGCCTTCAGGTCAACAAACTTTATATAGTCAAAGAGGCCATCAAAATCCCTGCGTCCTCATCCTTGCCTTGCTCTTATTCTATGTCTCTCCACCACAGCAAGCAGCTGGCACTACGAAAGAAGTGTGTTGTTGTCAAGATGTTTGCTTCAATGCTCCCTTCGCGAAATTTGTTTGGCATTGAAGATTGACTTGTTTTTGTGCACTTAAAGTCCCAAAAAATCAAAGCCGCGAAGAGGAAAGCTGAATGGCTTCCGACTTACGCCGATGCCACCGACCACACTCATATGTCATATCATGTCATATCCCCTCCAATGCTGTCCCTCATGTGGTCCAACGGGCTGCCCTTGCTGTTCAAGAATATAAGCAATTGGGTAATTGGGTACCCCGACTGCCGACTGTTTGACCAAGAACAGCGACGGCTGTGCAACAAGCATTTAAAGGGGTCTGTCAAGCGTACTATTATACTCTGGTCCTCCAGTGCTGCGCCTGAGGACGGGGGTTGGTCATCAACCTTCCAGCAAATTTGCTTGACAAAATGTATCCGAACATGTTCAATGTTCAAGTATTCTAGGCTTGGGTCGAATCCTCGTACTTTATATGGAAGGAAAAGTGCCTCACTGAATGACTTCGCTGAAAGCGATACCAGGGTAGGTCTTGCACCTCATCGACTTTGTCTTGCGCTCGACAAGGTTGATTCTAGGTGTCTCATAGAAGTAGGTGCCGAGCACTGAATTGGGGATGCATGCTTAGGCTGCTTAGGCCCAGGTCTGGGTTTGACGAGGTCCGACCTTGGATACAAGCTCAGAGTAAAACTCTCACAAACAACTGCAGTCGTTTGCATTTCAACTAGGGTGCTGTTAAATAGGATGTTCTCGGTGAGACTAGTTGCTGTGTTTGAAGAGGATGAGGGTTGACAGGCATGTCCAGAAGAACTTCAGAAAAAAGAGTATTCACAAATATTCCATAATATTCCCAACAGTGGACTCCGCAATTATGAAGTTGCTTACTCCATCTTACTCCAAATAATTTAGGCTCTCTCAACTTCAGGCTATGTTCAACCCTGTCCAGGCCTGCACTTGGCCCTGGCCCTGCAACATGCTGCTCAATCCTTTCTGGCCAATTGTCATTGTTTTCGGGGGACAAAGAGTGTATAAGCCAAGGATTGGACGTGCTTGTAGCACTTGCTTGCTCAGAAAAAGGACATCCTTGTTCAATGTTCATTGGTCTGATGCAAGCGATTCAGCTCAGTGGTGCTGACATTTGCTGTTCTGCAATTTTTTTATCCGTGACATGACGGGCACCTGCCCCATCCCGGCTCAATCTTGCTTGAACAAACGAAGAATTTAAAACTGGTGTTTAACTAAAAATTGTTTCAATAGGAGCTCCCAAGAAGCTTCCTTGAAGAACTCCAGCTACTATATCTATAAACTACTAACTTAACTAAATAGCAACCTAATACCAATGTTATTGTTATTGTATATAAATATTAGTCATACCATGTCATACCTTTGACACCGCATGCTGGGACAAAACCCACATGCTACCACGCAAAAAAAGAGATCGTGCACATCCTTGCACACTTTGATTTCTTCCTGCACCTTTCGGAAGAACTTGAGGTCTTGCTACATGCAGCTAAAGCAAGACATTCGGCCTTGATGATCAATGCTGCCCCAGATGTTGTTTGGTCACTATTCCGACATGAGACACAGAAAGGAATGCAAGAAGCTCTGTAAATGGGTGCAAGGCATGACGGACAGAAACGCAGACCCTCCTGGCTTTCTCGATGCCGATACGACAGCATTCATTCAAGCTTGACCTGCGCACTAGAAAGCTGCCATCGGGAAAGCACCGTTACAATGCATCCGTTGGGACCACATGGTCGCACAGGTTAACGTCTGGCATCGAGCCATTCACTACCCCCTGAACACCAGTTTTCTCTGACTGGGTTGAGGACCTGCGAAACACGCAGGACGAACGGCTTCTACAAGCACTTGAGATGATTGATACTTGGCTTGTCGAGGCAGAACGCGAGGTTCTGCCAGAAAACGATCTACAATCTACACAAAGCCGGGCATGACAAATGCACTAGAAGATTTGTTCAGATCCAGCAGCAACCTTGCCCAATTTGAGAACACCGACCAGACGCCGAACAGGCAACGCACAATCGGCCTTGGAAACACTGAGCATTCCGGAAGGAACGTTGCTTTTGGTGGTTTCGTTGAACATTGCCGTGTCGCGAGACAAGTGCAACCTCCTGTGCCCAAAGCAGCAAAGCAAATGGATGCGATTGGCTGCTGAAGGTGCCATTGCAGGGATGATCGCGGGGCCACCCTGCGAGAAATGGACCGTGGCACGAGAGAGCTCGAAAAGAGGTTTGGGGACTACCTGACTTAACAAAGTTCATGGGCTTTTCGCATGATCCTTCTGGACCACAAAGGCCATGAGATGGTTTTGTGAAACCAATTTATTGTTCACTTTCTTGACCCAAGAAGAAAGGGAGTTTTTGCCACCTTGATAGCAGGCATACAGTAGACAAAGAGACTGCACAGCAATTAGAGATCGTAGCATTGGCCTCGGAAGCAAAGGGTGGAAGACCAGCAGTTTGAATGAATATCCACCACCCCTGTGTTCTTTGATTGCCGGTTTCTTTAACACGACTTGGGTGGACAAACACTGTCACCTACCGGTCCAGCATTATGACGAGGTGGCATGCTGGGTCAAAGACCCAGTGGTCACTGAAGAGAACAGTCGTGAGTTGTTTGGACCGGACTTCGACCCTGCTGAATGCCTTAATCAATAAGAATCCATGGCAAAGGCACTGCGTTTCACTGCACCGTGCGCAAGTGAAAGCGACAGTAGTTGCATGTCATACATCATTATTTATGTAACTGTTTATCTGCTTGTCTGTCTATAGCTACAGGGCCTGCAGTGGCCTAACCCAGCCTGACAAAGACTTTGGCGTGGTTTAATTATGGAAGAGTCATTAGTCTTGCAGTGTAACTCATCTAGATGAAAAAACAAAACACACTATGATCTAGATTTAGGAACTCAATTGCAGCTCTTGAGCCAGGGTATGTGTGCTATACAAGTACGATCAGCATACAAACTCCTTGGTTGGACTTTGTAGGCCCAAGATTGCCTAAGGCCAAAGCAGCTTCACCCTCAAAGTTGGCATGGACTCGCTGGAGCACTCCAGCAAGGCAGCTGAGGCCTTGGATCAAAGGAGACACGATTCTGTGACACGAGTCGTGCGACAAGAAGTCCACAAAATGCCTAGTAGCAATGGCCTCCAACCTAGAAGGTCTCCAACTCAGTAGGAATGGCCTCCAACATAATAGCAATCCAACATAGTAGCAATGGCCTCCAACCTAGAAGCGATGGCCTCCAAACTACTAGCCACTGCCTCCAACCTAGAAGCGATTGATGGCCTCCAACCTACTAGCCATGGCCTCCTACCTAGAAGCGATGGCCTCCAACCTATTAGCCATGGCCTCCTACCTAGAAGCGGTGGCCTCAAACCTACTAGCGATGGCCTCCCAATAGCAATGGCCTCCAACCTAATAGCTATGGCCCCCAACCTAGAAGCGTTGTTCTCCAACCTACTAGCCACGGCCTCCAACCTAGAAGGCCTCCAACCTAGAAGCGATGGTCTCCAACCTACAGCCATGGCCTCCAACCTAGAAGCGATGGCCTCCAACCTACTAGCCA